TTTAATAAAGATTGAATAAAAAGGCACTTTTGATTCCATAAATGAAGCATTGACCAAATGATTTGTGATTCATTTTAGGGATCTTACTCGATTCATAAAACATTTGCAAGTTTTATTATAGGAACAAAATACAACACAAATCTAACTATATTGAGATTTCATTTTAAAAATTTGGTTAGATTTATTATACTTGTAGATTTTGGAATATGATTATTTTGCTAGTCTAGAAAAATTCTGCAGGTACTTACTCTGAATAATAATCGTTACTAACAAGCATTTATTTAGCACCTACTGTTCTGTGAATGAAGCAAGAAACTAGGGAGGTGTTGATACCCTTTGAAGAGAGACTAACAAAGGAATTGCAAGACAATGTTTGGGAAAAATAAACTTTTGTGAACTGAGCATCCAATATCAAACAAACTAGACAAGAAATTTTTCATCTTTAAAAACAATGAACTATATTTAAGTGTCCATGTCATTTTCACTAAGCTCTTATCCTTTTATTCTAGAGCTTCCTCACAAGATATTTGGTCCTTAAGCAGATATAGAGAGGGGGAAAATTTTTCTTTCCTGGCAACTCCCTCCTGAGTCAAAGGAAAAGAAAAAAAGAGATCCCTTTGTCTTTAGGTAGACCCATAACTTAAAATTTCTATACTCATTAAGTATTTTGGGTTAATTTTACAGTTACAATAAACCAGTAAGCAATATACAAAGTATGAGCAATAAATCAGTAAAGTTTTGATTTTTTTTTTCTTAAAAGTGTAATACATGGAAATTGCCCATATCTGAATTTAAATTCAAAGCCAAGATTGCCAAATATGTAAGGTATATTTAGTTATACTGATACTACATGACTGAATACTTTCCTACTTCTCTTCACTTATCTTTTTCTGTTCCCTACTAGTAGATTAAAATTTGGCTCCCAAAATATAAAGAAATGATAGGCATTATGGGAAATTCAAAAGCAATAGCTATCCAAGGTGGAGGGTGCTATAATACTGAATTATAATTTTACCATTTCCATGACCTTGATTCTCCCACCACTTCCAGATAGCCACAATGCCCCGCTCATCTAAGAAAATAAGGTGTATTCATTGTGTAAAATATGACATTACTGTATTGATACATTTAAGCAAACTTTACCTCAGAAATGTGGTTACTTCTTAAGACACAAAGCCCTCCAAGTCTTAAGATCCTACTTCTCTACCTCCAACCACCTTAAAATGCTCAGTAGTTCTATGTATCAAATTATGACCCCAAATTCCTGGAGAAACAAATTGATACAATATTCATTTGGCTACAACTAAGTAGAAGTTAAGGAATTCAGCAAAATGTGAATGCACCCAGAAATTCAACTCACAAAAACTGTTTTGTTCTAGTGGCCTTCATTAATAGAATCCTAAATTATATTACTTATTATTTTCCAGATTTTGAATCTCAGTTCAGGTATGTTCTTATACTTATACCAAATGGCTCAAAAACAAACATTTTTTTTTTAGCATAGAAAAACAATACTGCTGTATACATAAAACTTAAAAACCAAGCTTTCATTATGATATATTTTATAGAAACATTTTGATAACTATAAATAAAGATCACAAAATTTGTCAAATTGCTTTTAGGTAGCACAAAAAGTAGCTACATCAAATAAATAACATTTTGTACTTCCCTTTCTTCAAAAGACAGAATAAGTGCTTCAATTCCCATAAATATTTGCATGCATTTAATGGTAATAAGGTAAGTTGTAATATATTTGAAATAAGTAGACTGCGATTGAAGGGTTGCTTTCTACAATAAGTGAAATTAATACATCCATTGTATAAAAACATTTAATACACATCTTTAGAAAAATACACTGAATTATCTGTGTAGTTTCAAAGTGGATACCAAATTTAATTTTTCATAATCTAGCATATGTCATTTAATATAATTCAGAAAACCCTTTAGAACAAGATGTGCTTATATGAGAAGGTATATCAAACTGCATCTTAGAATGAATGTGTCAGGTGACAAAGAGCACCTGCTGTGATAAGACCATCCTGACAGGCAAAAAAAACAACAAGCGTGTAAAATCAAGTTACTTGAAATCTATGTTGCTCTACACTAAGCAATTATGAAAATTTCACAATCTCATTTCCACTCATATCCTGCCCTTCCAAAGCCTCCTCAAATGTACTTTATGTTTAATGCAACCATGTTATTTTCCAATAATTTTCTCTTTCTGTCCAAGAGCGAAGTATACCAATATGGTAACACACTGTCATACAACTCCATAGATTTTTTGATGTTGTTGTTTGCTAATAAAATGTACAAGTAGCCAATAGAATTTTTATGGGGAAAATTACTAAATAAGTTTTCCAAAATAGACTCTGATGAAATGATTAACACAAGAAAAATAATCTGACAAATGTGAATTTTTAAAAGGATGATAACAAAACTCATTTTCAAGGGCCATGTTAATTGGTATCTATTCCGATGAAAAGAAATCCCACCCATTTGTTCTTCCTCAGTTTAAAACAATCACATCCAGCTTGTGATCGATGTTTATGGCAGATACCACTGCGTAAAATAACCATGCCATTCCTCAGTTTTTGATATAGCTTCCAACCAGAAGTTTCAAAACAACTCTGACTAGTAAACATATCACTGTACATAAACAGTGATGTTTTCTATCCCATACTTCAGGAAGGTCAAACTGCACCCACAGGCAAGGATCATCATTATAGACAACAGATTCCAAGTGAGTTTGTTAACTCTTTAGGTAGATTAGGCAACACTTGTTTTAAAACTAAAAATCAAAAGAAGTCAGTCTCTCTCTCCTTCTCTCTCTCTCCCTCTCTCTCTCTCAATTACTTGTACTACCATCTTACCAGCAGATACGTAAGGAAGAAAAAAGAGGACTATGTGTCCGAAATGTGATTATCTAAAATCTGATTAGTCACTTTACATTTTAGGAGATGCCCCTTTCTGAAATAATCAAGATACTTTACAATAGGGAATTTATATTTAATTATCAAATTTTAATACCATTTATATAGGTCAAGTGAGTATATATGTCCTTCCCCGGAAACAAAGAGATTCAGAGTAATAGCATTTCAGATTTCATAGTAGCAACCACAAGATATGTTTTGAGAATGTCATTTACTGTAACACAAATCAATATTAAATGCTTTATGCAGGAAGCACACTTTCAGAAAATGGGCCCTAAAGCTTTCTGGGATCCGACCCTAATTACCAGAGCAGGCTCTTGCCGTTTGTCTCTCTCTTCAATTATTTACGGGGCAAAAAGAGCCAAATGGTATTGCATTAGCTATATTAAATGCTACGCACTTGGTTTCAAACTTACTAATGGTAGATAAAAATTACTAAGGTGAATGTGCCTGTAGAAACAAGGCCTTTTTCCTTTACCTGAGTGTATGTATTTATTATTCATATAGTTAAGTGTTGACTAGGCTGTTCTTTGGCGACCCAATACTGCATAATTTAAACAAGTGCATTAAACATATATGCTGTCTAAAAGGTAGTGCATTGATTACACCTCAAAATTTCTTTGAACAACTCATATTTACAATGTAGCTCACACACACACACACCACACACACACACACACACACACACACACACACACACAAATGCATCTCCCTCCGGTCCCTGAAAACAAATTTATGGGGACCACACAGAAATGAATAATGGCCATCCTTGCTGCTACCCTGTCGCTGCTTTCTGGCGCCCCAAAGTAAAGTAAGAATGGGGGTGGGGGTTGAGAATGAAGCCCTTGAGGGCTAGGAAATGTCGGGTCTCTATGCTGACAAGTGTCCTTTTGGACAAATACGGTTGTAAGTGCACAACATGGACCACCCGCACTGTAAGAAAGGACAGCTTATCGAGGTTAAATCAGAGACTCTTTGCACCAGGCCAGAAATGCCCTCTGCCGCAAGCAGGTCGTGATTACAACCTCCCAAAGAAAGTTCAGACGCTGCATCCACGTTTGATTCTTTTGTGATCTGGAGGGCTCCTGGAGTCCTGACAGGAGATGCTAATTGCTGTAGAAGAAGGCTGGTGCATCCACCTTCCACCTTCCCAAACTGTGGGAGAAGCTTCCAAAGTAGTGAAATCCTCACTCCTCATGGAAATGGATATATATGTGAGTTCAGGGGCATCCAATTATTGTAAAATTAAGGAAGGCTCATTAACCAAGCACCTGGGGTCCCTAGAAAGTCAGTAGCAATGTGTAGGGCTACACGTCATCGGCTGGGTTGCCTAAGAATATGCCAAGGCCACTTTTGAGAAAGCACCATTGGAAATCGGTCTGTGGTAAACACACAAGGTAGTATTTTTCTGAACTAAACACAAAGTCACTTCTCTCTGTGCCCTGAAATCTGCCCATTGTCCCTCCTAAGCAAAAGCTACCTTTCTCTTTGGGAAAAGATTCAAAGGGACATCAATGAACGCTACGTGGACTTTGGCTACTTTCCTACCCAAAACACCAGCGTAAAAGTGGGAATCAGTAACCAGGTGAAGTGCCACACCGCACAAAGATCAAGGCAGGCGAGGGGCGGGCGCTGGGGCCGCAGACGGGAGGCAAACGTCCCGTCCCCCCACCCCCGGCTCCGGCCCCAGGAATCGCTCCCGCGCGCGCGGGAGAGAAGGGGCGTCTCCGGGAAGCGGGGTGGGGGGCTCCGAGGCACTCCAGGGGAAGCCAAGAGTTACTGATCGCAGGGCGGGGCCGAGGGGAGGGAGGGGGTCGGAAAGCCGCACAGCCAGCCAGCGGGTCCCACCGCGGGCTCCAGGCGTCGGCAGCGCCGCAGTCAAGCTCGGCGAGAGGCTCGGCCAAGGGGCTCGGCCAAGGGGCGCCGCTCGGGCCCCGCGACCCTCCCTCCTCCGGGGCCAGAAAGGAGCTGGCGGCTCTTTCCTGTCTAGTCTCTCCCCCCGCGGCTTTCTGTAACTCGATCCCGCACCCGCTCCCCCGGCGGCCGCCGCCCAGGCCGGCGCCCCTTTACCTTCGCCTGCAGATACTGGGGGTAGTAGTAGGTGGCGTACTGAGGGTACATCTGCTGTTTCCACACTTTGCCCATGAAGCTGGAAGGGAGCCTGCGGCGCAGGGTCGCGGGCACTTTGGGGTTTCCAAGTCTCGATCTCTCCTGCCTCTCCCTTTCCGGCGGCGGCGGCGGCGGCTGCTGCCGCTGCTCCACCTCCCAGCCCGGACGAGAGGTCCTCCTCCTCCTTCTCCTCTCCTCCTCCTCCTCCTCTTTCTCTTCCTCCTCCTTCTCCTCCTCCCAGGTAGAAAGACACTGCAGGACGCAGAGGGCACCCCGGGCCGGGCGCTCCCAAGGAGTTGCCTCCGGGAGCCCGGCTGCTCCGGCTCCGCCACGGGCTGGCGCGCTGGCCGCTCTGCGCGGGCGGGCGGGCGGGCGGGCAGGCGGAGCGGGGCCGGGAGGGGATCAATAGGAGCGGAAAGTGCGGCGGCGGCGGCTGCGATCGGTGCCAGGCGGCATCTGGGGTGGGTGCGCCGATGGGGAGCGGGGAGAGGGGCCGGCGCGCGGCGGCCGTGGGGGAAGGGCGGGCGGCGGGGGCGGGGCCTGGGCGCCGGGAAGCCGGGACCCGCGGGAGGTGAGGGCTGAGTTTAAACCACTCCTCACCTCCCAGACCCTCCCAGACCCTCCCCGGCTCGGCGATTGGGCGCGCACCGAAACCCCGGGAGCCCAGATTGCGCTTTGTGTCGGGGGTTGGAGGTGGAATGGGGGACCCCCGCTTAAGAACTGTAGAGTGGACACCTCGTTTGCTCTCACGAGTTTTTTAGCTTCGCCAGGGGGAGGGGAGGAGGGAAGAGGGAAGAGGAGGAAATCTGATATATCTCTCACTTCCCTCCCGCCCAGCGATTTCTTTATTTTTTCACAAGGGAAGGAAAAAAATGATTTAGTGTCCAACCGAAAGGCTGGAGTCCGGACACCTGGGTTCTGTTCACCTCTTTCCCCCACCCCCACCCCAGGCCACACAGCACTGCTTTTCTAGGTGACCTTGGGAAGGTTGGTGTCCTTCGGTTTGGTTTTCCCAGATGTGAGAGGTGAAATCGTGCCCTCTGCACAAGGGGAGGCGAAGCTTGGAGACACGCGCGCGCGCTCGCGCAGACACACACACACACACACACACTCACTCACTCCCAACAAATAGACGGATCCTTCTAAAGGGGATATACCGCTAAGAGGCAGAATGTTATTATTAGAGGACACAATATAGACATAAGCTTTTCTCTGCCTCTTTCTAATACTGCCAGTCTGTCAACTCCCACTCAGGAGCCAGGAAACTCCCTGAGTTTGGAATATTTTAAGGCCATTTTGAAAGTCACGCTGGCATATTGTTGCAGTGTGTTTTCAGTGACATACAAAATCAATCTCTCTCTTCCTGCCTCTCTCCATCTCCTAGTTGTCACAGCCCTAGACAGCCCCAGACAGCGTTGGTTCAGTTCACTACAATAGCTGGATATAATTTAATGGAGTTAATTGGTCCCTGAAGCTGCCTGTAGAAAGGAAGACTTTGTATATTCTAGCTCAAAAAGAGGTAATGCCAAAATGTACAAACAGGAGAAGCAAGAAAGACTCCAAATTGGCGTGCTTGCACATCTAATAAGATGAAATAAAAAAATTTCATTTGTTGTTAAATAGAGCTTGATTGCTTTGTTTTGTCATTTTGGTTTTTCTGAGAGTCTGTTTTCTTAACAGCACAAAGGTAAATCAAAGTTAAGTGGGATGCATGATTTTGCTAAACAGTGACAGTTTTATATGATTACATTTCAAAGCAGGTTTACTTTAAAACAATGAAATAGTGAACTGAAACCTTTGTAATCTTTATATGATTTAGACATATTTCTAGGTTATAAATTTTGACAAGACAAAATAAATCTGAGTTCATATGAGAACATATTGGATATTCCAGAAGGCAAATCATGTTATCTTTAAAAAATAATAATAATAACAGTTAACTGCCGAAATCAATTTGACTCAATGGATAGAGCATAGGCCTGCCTACGGACCTAAAGGTCCCAGATTCTATTCAGGTCAAGGGCATGTACCTTGGTTGCAGGCACATCCCCAGTAAGGAGTGTGCAGGAGGTAGCTGATCGGATGTCTCTCTCTCATCGATGTTTCTAACTCTCTATCCCTCTCTCTTCCTCTCTGTAAAAAATCAATAAAATATATATTTTTTTAATTAAAAAAAAAATAACAGTTAACGTATGTGAAATCCCATAGGGACACTAGTATTTACTGAGCAACATTGTGGGCACTACTGAGATTCATGTTAATCTGAAGGTTGCAGTTGTTAGCTGTACAACTCTGAGCACTTAAAATAGTTCTCTATATTGTTTCATTGTGGAACCCTTCAGTGTTTTTGAGCAGGGAACTGATATGAACTAACCCGTGCACAGACTAGGAATGATGATTTGGAGAAATGACTGAGGAAGGGAACAAGTTAAGAACAATCTCAGAAGTTCTAGGCTTGAGGTGATAAGGGAAATTACCAAACTTAGACTGTTCTACTTTATTCCGGCTGATGAAATTCAGCCTGTTTTAGAGAGCCCAGAAGCTCACCCACAATTATGTAGACACTTGATTTATGACTGAGTTGGTATTACAGAGCAGTGGAGAAAGAATGAGCTTTTCAATAAAAGATTCTGGGTCAATTGGCTATTCATATGGAAAAAATGAAACTGGAGCCTTGCCTTACAAAAGGGGAAGAAAAAAGTTCAAGTGAATGAAAGACCTAGATGAAAAAAACAGAACTATAAAGTTGTTAGGAAAACATATAGGGAAATATCTTTGTAGCCTTGAGTTAGGAAAAGATTTCTTTAATAAGGTGACCAAGAGTACAAGATTGATCAATTTGACTATATTAAAATTCAGAACACTGATCCATCAAAGGACTCCATCAAGAAAATGAAAAGGCAGGCCACAAAATAGTTATTTGTAATCTATATAACTACCAAAGCTTAATGTGCACAATGTATAAAGGTCTCCTTGAAATCAGTAAGGAGCCGAAACTGGTTTGGTTCAGTGGATAGAGCATTGGCCTGTGGACTGAAAGGTCCCAGGTTCGATTCCGGTCAAGGGCATGTACCTTGGTTGTGGGCACATCCCTGGTGGGGGGTGTACAGGAGGCAGCTGATCAATGTTTCTCTCTCATCGATGTTTCTAACTCTCTATCCCTCTCTCTTCCTCTCTGTAAAAACTCAATAAAATATATATTTTTTTAAAAAGAAATCGGTAAGGAAAAGAAAAGCAACTCATGTTAGAATATGAGCAAGAGCATGAACCTGTGCATTTCACAGAGGAGGAAGCACCAGTGTCCCTATAATATGAAAAGATGCTCACCCTCAGTATGAAAGGAAATACAGACCAAAATGATAAGATACCATTTCACTCTCAGCAGACTGGCAACAATTATGCACTCTAAAAATATTAACAGTAGGTGATGATGTAAAAGGGGGGGAAATCTTAAAAATACTGCTTACTGGTTAAAGTGTAAATTGGTACAACCTCCATTTGAAAAAAAAAAAAATCAGTTTGGCTTTACCCAAGTTCATTTGCTTGTGTGCCAGGACACAGTAATTCCACTTGCAGGTACTAGTATATTCCTCAAAGAAGTTCTTCTATACGTGCACCATGAGAAATATACAGGATTGTTCATAATATACTAAAAATAACTCAAATGTCTATCAACTATAGGATGGGTAAAAAGGCTATAGAATGTGCATAAAGTAGAACACTTGCAGCGGTGAAAAGAAATATACTACAGCTAAAACCGTCAACATGGATTGCTTCAAAATTGATGTTGAAGATGCAAGTCAACATAAAACATGATTCCATTTGTGTAAAGTTGTGTGAGAAGAGGTAGTAAAAGAAACTATAAAGAAAATAAGGGGAATATAACACAGAATGCAGAATAGAAGTTATCTCTGAGGAAGAAGAAGGGTCAGATGTTCAGGGAGAGAACAGAGAGGACTTATTACAAATGGTAACGCTTCCTGATTTGCACTGGGTTGTGGATCCGTAGAAACATATTTCAATATTTTTCTTTAAGTGATTCATAGACTCTTTTGTAATGTTGCTGTATTTTGTACTAACACGTTTTAAAAGCAAAACTCAGGTTTTCATTTTAATCATGATCAATTTCAAACAAATACAAAAGTAGAGAGAATAAAATAATCCTCTGTTCTTAACATCAAACTTCAACATTTATTAGCATACTAGAGGCCCAGTGTGTGATTGAAATCACGCAAGGAGGTGCCCTGCCTCCTGCTATGGCAGGAGGCACACCTTGGGGGGCCAGGACCCTGGCCTGACTGTCAGCCTCCCCTGGCCACCTGCCCGTGTTCACTCTGGGGCTGCCCGAGCTGCTGTGCGGGCTGGGGCAGGCTCCCTGCTCTGTCTCCATCTTCGATCCAGGCCTCACCTGCCCGCTCAACCTCCTCCTGTCTGGTCGTGACCCATTACAGAGTTCCGGCCTACTTTGCATTACACACACACACACACACACACACACACACACACTAGAGGACTGGTGAATGAAATTTGTGCACGGGGATAGGAGAGGAGTGTCCCTCAGCCTAGCCTGCACCCTCTCCAATCTGGGACATCCCTCTCACAATCCAGGACTGCTGGCTTCCAACTGCTCGCCTGCCTGCCTTCCTGATTGCCCCTAACTTCTGTCTGCCAGCCTGATCACCCCCTAACCACTCACATGCCAGCTTGATTGATGTCTAACTGCTCCCCTGGCAGTCCATTTGCCCCCAGCTTCCCTCCTCTGCCAGCCTGGTCACTTCTAACTGCCCTCCTTTGCAGAGTTTATTGCCTTCAACTGCCCTCCCTTATAGGCCTGATCCCTCTCAAATGCCCTCCCTCACAGGCCTGGCGGCTCCCAACTGCCCTCCCCTACTTGCCTGATCACCCACAATTGCCTTCCCTTGCAGGCCTGGTCCCTCCCAACTACCCTCCCCTGCAGGCCATCTTGTGTCCACATAGGGGCAGGATCTTTGACCACATGGGGGCAGCCATCTTAGTGTGGGAGTGATGGTCAATCT